AAAATTACACCTTTGAAAATAGCATGGCCTAGAAATGACTTGAAAGTTATCAAGTTTGACCACATCTCTAGTTCAAACATTTAAACATGTTTCAATTTTGAGTTCTAGATAGGATAATGCTCATGGTATTTTGATAGGTAAATCTGTCAAAACTGTTATTATTTGGGGAGGTTCTTTTTTTTGGAGGGGATGTGCGCCTTCAAGCTCCTATTCTATCAAGATAGCTCGACACTTACATCTACTTCAAACTAACCGAAATGAAAAGGGTGAATCATCGCCAGAAACCTCTCGGGGAAACCAAAGCCTAACAATAAACTGTAGTGGAAAAATTCTGAATGCTAAAGCAAATGTTAGACCACCCAAAGGATTTCTGATAAATAACTACTTTTTAGATGTTACGAAATGCAGAAACTATTTCCTCAAATGAACATATACCTCTTTAATGAGAACACTTTCAGATTTTCTAGGAAATTGCTCTAAGAGTTTAGGCTACAAATTAATAATTGGCCCAAATTTAGACAGCATTTAATTCACTTAGCTGTCAAAGAATACAACTGAAACAACTCAAATTTTAGTTTTTAAAAAAAGAGCCATATCTACCTTCTTTATTTAAATATTAACAACTATTAATATTTCAACATTATTAACTTTACTATGCTTTGCAATCCAAAAATTTAAGTACTCTGTAACAAAATTAAAATTCTCAGTTTAATGCATCTTATGAATATATACGCGTACGTATATATGTATACGTGGGTGTATGAGTCGGAATCGACTCGACAGCAACAGGTTTTGTGTTTTTTTTTATGATACTATTAAAATAAGGTAATTTTTATTTCATCCTTGATACTTGTGATACTTTGGTTAGATACTAAATAAATTTTATGCTCAACAGCACTAATCCCTGAAGCCCCTGCCTTAAGGTCTCATTTATAAGTTTAAGAAAATTTAAAATACAAAACATTTTAGGATATCATCCCTCTAAATCAAAGTTTTTTGGCCTCAGCAAAGATGACAGTGGATTACAACAAAAATATCTGGGATGCGAACATTAATACCTTGCAAATTATAAAACAACAATATGGCTGCTCTTTCTCAGTTGTACAAAATGGTTATAATGTTGCAACGTGAAGTACAGTTGTTTTCAAGGAATCAAGTTTGTTGGTGCTGTCAAAGACCATCCTACTTCAGTCACTTACTGAAAACGCAATCTTAAGGGCAAAAGCTATGCAAAGCTCAAACAAAATCCACAGGCAACCTCTATTCCCTATTCATTTCTGACCTTAACACTGTACAGGTATAACTAAAATCCAACGGAGCAACATGCCTAGTTAATGTAGGTGTGACTCACTCGATGACAGAAACTCACTGTTCTGCTGCCAAACCAAGCTGGTCTTTTTATCTACAGCAGGTTAACGCGACAATGCCTAGAGATAAGTTCTCTTTCCAAAATTCAAGATTCAACCTAACTGCTGCCTCCTTAATTAAATCTAGGCTTTAGTACTTTATTTTAAAATACTTGTTTCTACTGGCTCCTATAAATTGGTATGATCTGCACTGTAATGACTATAATGTGTTGGAAAAGACACAAGACCAATGGTTGGCAGTTTCAACGATCACCATCATGAATGAAAGGTACTTCCAACTCAAGCCTGAGGCTAACAAGCCACACATATGCTCAAATACTTGTACATTATATATAATATGTTTTTAAAGAGCTCACCTTTTCCTATTTTTTCAAAATTAGAACCGTTTCCTCAGTATGACACAACCCAAGTACAGTTTTCCACTTCATTTCTCCTCCAAGATTATAAACAACGAAGAACTATTTCACCAACAGGAGGGGTAGTCCCAAGGCAACCACAATAATAGTGTACGGCAAAACCAAACCTGACAGTACATTCTAGGCTTCAAACATGGGAAGTGAAGCCATTCCCCCAAACCAGATTACATACATCCTTAATGTCATCATTAATTTAAGGGGTGTGACTCTGGAAAAATTCACACTTGCTGTGTCACAATGATAGCGCACTGACAGCCTTAATTTTGGCACACTGTGTTTTTGAGGACCAATGATAGCACACTGACAGCCTTAATTCTGGCACACTGTGTTTTTGAGGAACTGCTTTCAAAGCCTATTCGCAGACATGGTTCTACTCCTGGCTTCACTTTTCTTAATACTGATGCTGTCCTATTGGTTTCAAGGCTTATAAATGTTAAACATCAAAAATTAGTTTCACTTATTATGGTTGGAAAAAGCCTTAAGAACTCTGGGATCTGTGCCTCTGAGCAAAGGCTTTATCAGCAGGTCCCAGACACCGCTTCTTGAAAAAAGAAAACGGTACTGATTAAAAACCAATACACCTGATTTCCAAAGGACACCTACCAAGCACGTGTACATTTAATTCATTAAGGGTTTCTGCCCCAAACTCACAATTACTTACTTCTCAAAATCCCCTCTCCCATGTTCACAGTGATCGTCACCAAGGGGATAAATATGAAAAATTAAATCCCAAACTATTTATTCAAGAATTCAATCTTGATTATTCTTCGCGGGTGCTTACTTAACATAGTATCAGTATCTTTCCAACGTCTGTGTCTGAACAGCAAACATCCTCCAGATGTTTTTCCACTTAGACAGGGAAAAGAATAGGGCTCAAATTATTGTTTTTCTTTTAATCAGAATTCTTTAATCCCATACTAAATAAATTTATTTTTCCCAGAACAAAGAATTACGTTCATATGGAAACAGAAAGAACACTCGAGAAAAAATGTTTACTATCCTTCTAAGTGCTGAAAATATCATGTATTTCTAAAGCAATCACATTTGTCATAAAGTGTGACAAGAAATAACCACCTTTTGTCTTCGTATAAATGGAAAATACCTAGTCAGTGGTATTATACAATTTCCATTTTTTAAATAGCAGTATGACAAAACAAAACTTAAAAGCTAAAACCTAATATCCTCAAAGGAAGCATACATTCCTGAAACCAATAAGGCACTACTTCTGGATGTTCGGATACGGAGAAAAAGAAGGAAAAGAGAAAGGAAAGCTTGTCAGTGAAAACTAGTGAGGCAGTAAAAGTCAGAATTAATACACAACCACTAGTGGGCAGAATGTCACGTGATGATCCCGTCCCATCCCAGGACTTCATTTAGGAACCCACTGACTCGTGGTAACCCTATATGACAGAGTAGAACTGTCCCATAGGGCTTCCAAAGCTATAACTCTTTACAGAAGCAGACTGCCACATCTTTCTCCCATGGGTTTGAAGAGCCAACCTTTCAGTGAGTAGCCAAGTGCTTAACCACTGCGCCCCCAGGGCTCCATGCTAGCACAGGACGCTCTATTTAATTTATACCGGCTCTCTTCTCACCCATCATGATGTCCTACTCTGCCCCGATCCTTGCAGCCACAAACAATATCTACCCCCTGGAGTCTCTCCCAACTCCACAAGCCCTGTCCCTCCCTGCTATTCTCTGACACTTCCAGAGTCAACTCCCCCAACTTTGGAGATAAAATAAACGACTAGCATAATTCTGCTCTCTTGTGGGTTAACTCTACTTGCAGGCTGGCCACAAAACTTTATCACTATTTCTAACAACACTTCTAAGAAGTAAGTTTCAAGTGTCAAAATAGTCTACTTACTAACAAACAGTAGATGCTACGTGTGTTAAAAAGATGATTTTGGCACAAAGCTGATCCACAGGGAAAGGGCCCCGATTTCACTCACACTGAAGAGGGCACTGTGACAACCACCCAACACAGAAATCCTCCTGAGTTTGCGGTCCCTCAGTACACCACCAAATGCACTTCATTAAGATGTAACATCTTCCTAACTAGAGTAATGAAATGCTATTACAGCCAATGAATACTGTACTATACTATACTCAATGAAATCGAAATATGGCTACCTTAAAGACGAAACAGAGCAGTGGCAAACTAAGAGCACAAGAAGTATCGTAAGTTACAGGGGGAAACAATATCTTATACGAAAAAGAAAACATAAAGAATACTTTTCTTATACAGCATTGTTCACAACAGGCAGAAGATGGAAACAACCCAAGTGCCCATCAACAGCTGAGTGGATAAATAAAATGCGGTATACACACACACACACACACACACACACAATAGAGTACTATTCAGCCTAAAGAGAAATGAAGTTCTGATACATGGCACCACATAGATGAACCCTGAAAATATTATGCTAAGTGAAATAAGCCATACACAAAAGATCAAATGATTCTACTTTCATCAAATATCTAGAATAGCAAATCCACTGAGCCAAAATAAGATCGGTGATTACTTGGGGCTGGGGGGAGGAGGAAAGGAAGGCAGGAAGGAAGATAGCAAAATTATTTTCTTCCGGTTTTCAGTGGTAACTAACAACAATAATTTATTGCCTAGTACCAGTCAGCAGCGATTCTCAACTGGGGAGGACTATTCCCCCAGGGGTGTATGCAGGAAGGTCTGGTGGCCTTGTGTAGTTAGAAAAAGAACATTCAATGTATCTATTAATTTTATACTATAAACTACAGGAAAAAAGGCTGAAAATGCTTTACAGCTAATGGAGATGTGCAGACTATGCAGTACGAAAGCATGCTGGGGAGCAAGGGCTAAGAAAACGTTGAGAGACCTGACTTCAGAACATCGAGCTGCCCTCAGGGAGAGTTAATCTGAGTTAAAGATGCCAACGAAAGAAGAAAGCTAGCCTTAAGAAAACACTCTTCTGACCTGGGTGATATCTGGGGTGGAATATCTCTCAGGGATTATTTCCAGCGTAAGTTTCAGAACAGAATAATAAAGAAACGTTAAAGACGAAAATTAAAGCTAGTATTTCAAAATAAATAGCAGGATAAAAGGGAGGAAAATGGACAGAAATGAAAATCTTGGATGAAACAGTTTAATACAACATTTACTCATGGTCATAAAAAAAATGTGTATTTATTTTCGAAAATTTGGAAATACAGAAAACATGTAATCAGTTTAGCTCACCTCGCGAGTAGCCAGGTGGTTGCTGAGTTCCTCCGCCTTCTCGATATTCCACTCTTCCACAGCCTGGTCTATGCTCTTTTCAAGACCTGACTAGAAAGAAAAGAAACCTAAAAATGTAAGGCGTGAAAGAAAGGCAAACAAACATTTGGGCAAAGACTATGTATGCCACAGGACTATGCCAAATGCATTACATACTAGACCACTGAACTCTCACGCTAACCCCCTAAGAGAGCTGGTACGTCCCCAGGTACGTGACGAGGAGAGGATGGCTCAGAGCCATCACCAGCTGGCCTGAGGGCAGATAACTTCTTGAACGAATACAAAGGAGTTGCAGATCCAGGTCTTTGTGACTCCAAACCCTATGCTTTACCTTAATAATTACAGGAACATTAATAAGAATTAAAAACTATGGAGTGCCTATTATGTGTAACCATGAGTTTAGTACTTCCAGAAAGCTCACTGACTCTTTGTGACAACTCCATGACACAATATTGTCATCCTGCTTTAAAGATGAGGAAACAGAGCCTTGGCCTCACTAACTTGGCCAAAGTCCCAGAATGGGTAAGTGGCAAGGCCATCATCGTGTGTTATGGATTGACCTGTGTCCCCCTCCCACCGAAATATGTTAAAATCCTAACTCCTCTAACCCATGTATGTGACCTTGTCTGGGGAAGTAAGAGTTTTCTTGCAGATGTTATCTGTTAAATTAATGAGATCATACTAACATCTCATTGCTGAGCCTAGACCTGAAGGAGGATTCCCCAGCCAGAGAGATGTGGGTGCAGGGGACCCTGTGGGGAGGGACTGTTCTGTTGCTACCCCAGGTCACAGTGCAAGCGTGGTCTCCAAGTGTGGTCTGCAAATAGGGCTGGTCCATGAGCTGTTTATTTTGGTCCACACAGAGACAAGGCACTTGTGCCAGAATGCAAAGCAACCACATGACTAAGTACAGGTTTGTCCAGCTGATTTTTTTTTTTTTGGTGGGGGGAGGTGGGCAACAAGACTTTGCCTCAGTGAAGGAAGGACTGCCCAGCTCCGTATCTTTGCAGACCAGTGCTTTGAGTAGCATTGTCCTAGGCCATGTTATACACATCACCTGAAAGCTCCACCTTTCAAACTTCACAATCTAAAATGCTCCCTGAACACAAGCTTCTTGCATCTTTCCACCTATCTCAGCCCTCTACCCAGTGAAGCTGCCTTCTGTCTTCATTTGGAACCTCATTCCCCTAAGAAGCTGTTATATGTCTTTTTCATTTTCCCAAATACCTTCAAGCCTACCTCTTACCCTTTCAGCGATTACAAGTCTACCTCTTACTTCAGGGGAGGCCCCAGGAGTGGGAGTTGTGGAAGAACGAAAACAAGGATATAGGTAGTTGACAAAATAGATGATCAAGTAGAAGGAGAACAGAGGGTGTGGCTTACGATTGTAGAGAAAGCTGCAGAAGAATGAGGCCAAAAGGAACAAAGGATTGGGTAGGAGATGACATGGAGGCAACTGACAGACACTGTTTTAAAAGAAACAGATGAAGAAGCAACACAAGGAGAAAGCAGTGTGAGGGAGGGGGCTGTGTTGTTCCATTTCGTGTGGTGAAGATGAAGAAAAGAGAGAGGAAAAAATTTAAAGAGAAGGGTCCCTGGGACATGTAAAAATGGATAGGATTATGAGCACACATGGTGAGTTTAGTTTTGGGGAAGGAGATGATTCTTGAAGGGAACAGGATGGAGAAACAGAGTAGGTGAAGATACACTCTGGCTGTAGTTCTTCCAAGACAGATTTGTTTGTTCTTCTGGCAGCCCATGATGTATTCAATATTCTTCGCCAACACCATCATTCAAGGGCTTCAATTCTTCTTCGGTCTTCCTTATTCATTGTCCAGCTTTCCCATACATATAAGGCAATTGAAAATACCTTGGCTTGGGTCAGGGATACCTTAGACCTCAGAGTGACATCTTTGTTTTTTAACACTTCTAAGAAGTCTTTTGCAACAGATTTTTCCAGTGCAGTATGTCATTTGATTTATTGACTACTGCTTCCATGGGTGTTGATTATGGATGCAAGTAAAATGAAATCCTTGACAACTTCAATATTTTCTTCATTTATGATGATGTCAGGAGCCCTGGTGGCGCAGTGGTTAAAGTGGTCAGCTGTTAACCAAAAGGTTGGCAGTTCAAACCCACCAGCTGCTCCACAGGAGAAAAGATGTGGCAGTCTACTTCCATAAAGATTTACAGTCTTGGAAATCCTATGAACAGTTCTACTCTGTCCTATAGGGTCGCTATAAGTCGGAATCAACTCAACAGCAGTGGGTTTGGTTTTGGTTTTTATGACGATGTTGCTTATTGGTCCAGTTGTGAGGATTTTTGTTCTCTTTATGTTGAAAATAGCCCCAGATAGCCGTCTTAAATCTCCTTTAACACTCCTTATCTCCTCTTTTTGCCCCTTAATTACAGTAGCCCTCAAGGTTCTGTGATTGGCCTTCATTACATCTTATTCCTCACCCCCCCGCCCAATAATCCACTCAGTCCTGAGCTTCAGTAAGCTGATTTACATCTCTGAATAATTCAAAACATCTGACCTCTCACCTGTACCAAGAGCTACATCTCTAGCTACTTGCTACTCACCTTCATATTGAAGGCCTCGCAAAGATGGGTCTTTAATTTTATTTACGTGTAGAAACAAGCTCATTACTTCCTGCCCTGCTTCTCTTCCAGAGCTGACCACCTCTTAAGCACCTGTGACAGAGTCCTATTATCTCATTGCCTCTCCATCTCTTGCTCCTATTTTAACCTTTCATTTCTCCCTTCTGCCCTTCTCCAAGGTCTCATCATCTTATTTAAAATATTGTAACTACCTCTTAATTGGCCACCTGTCTTTCTAAAACAGGCATCATGTCATCACCCAACTTAAAACACTATCACTGTGGGGACCAAGGTCTCGGGGAACATCTAGCTCAACTGGCATGACACAGCTTATAAAGACAATGCTCTACATTCTGCCTCGGTGAGTAGTGTCTGAGGTCTTAAAAGCCTGTGAGCGGCCATCTAAGATACTCCACTGGTCTCATCCCTTCGGGAGCAAGGGAGAATGAAGAGAACAGGATACAAGGAAAAGATTAGTCCAAAGGACTAATTGTCCACAGCTACCAAGGCCTCCACTGGACTGAGTCCAGTACAGCTAGATGGTGCCCGGCTACCACCACTGACTGCTCTGACCAGGATCACAACAGAGGGTTCTGGACAGAGCTGGAGAAGGATGTAGAGCATAATTCTAACCCACAAAAAAAAGACCAGATTTCCTGGCCTAAAGGAGACTGGAGAAACCCTGAGAGTATGGCCCCCAGACACACTTTTAGCTCAGTGGTGAATTTATCTCTGAGGTTTCACCGTTCAGCCTGGGAGTGGACAGCCCCGTAAAACCAAATGAGACTAATGAGGTACAGAAGTCCAGTGACAAGGGCCAGAAGGCAGAAGGGGACAAGGAAGCTGGTGATAGGGAACCCAAGGTAGAGTAAGGATATTGTTGATGTCTTGTGAGATTGTTAACCATTGTCACAGGGCAACATTTGTAGTAACTGTTAAATGAGAAACTATTTTGTTCTGTAAACCTTCATCTGAAGTGAGAATAACAGCACAATTGGAAGAGCATAGTCAATGTCACTGAACTGTGCATGTAGAAATTTTTGAAATGGTGTATCTTTGGCTATGTGTATTTTCACCAAAAAAAAAAAAAGGTTGAGAAGTTAGAGGGTTGACATGTTGTGGGGTTGTTAAACAATGTCATAAAACAATATGTGTACTACTGTTTCATGAGAAACTATTTTTTCTGTAAGCCTTCACCTGAAGTACAATTAAAAAAAAAAAAAGAGTAAAGGAGCCCTGGTAGCATGGTATTTATGAGCTCAGCTGCTAACCAAAAGGTTGGCAGTTCAAAACTACCAGCTGCTCCTTGGAAACCCTGTGAGGGCAGTTCTACTCTGTCCTATAGTTGGAATATGAGTCACTATGAGTCAGAATCTACTCGATGGCAACAGGTTTCTTCCTGGTTTTCACAAGAGTAAAATTCTTCAATAAATAATGATAATTCTGAAATTTGTCTATTTCATGTACAAAAACAATCATTAAAGACTTTCAAACAGTTAAAGAAGGAAATACGTTTTAGTTAATATAAACATTAGTAGCGGATATGTAAACTAGACATCTTTAGCAAGAATATTATATCCGTTGAATAAAAAAGTTTATAAAATTTAAATAAAAACAATACAACTCAAAATAGTAGAGAGAAGATACAATTTTAGTCTTTGTGAGGTTTCTAGGTATACTAGCACTCACAAAAATAAATAAAATCTCCTTTCAGAACTGTACTTAACTTTCAGCTATTTAATTGCACTGGGCCACAAGTCTTTCAAGAAAAAGTCCTATTTGGGAATCCTTTCATGTCTTGCGAGAATAAGTTAAAAGCAGAATGTCAGCTTTGCCACCTCAAAATTTCACAAGTGGGAAAGCGCTCGAAAATCTGGATATAAGATCCATAAATTGTCTTTGGTGCACCAACTGCTCTGACCAGGATCACAACAGAGGGCTCTGGACAGAGCTGGAGAAGGATGTAGAACAAAATTCTAACCACAAAAAAAAGACCAGATTTACTGGCCTAAAGGAGACTGGAGAAACCCTGAGAGTATGGCCCCCAGACACACTTTTAGCTCAGTGGTAAAGTCATCTCCGAGGTTCACCGTTCAGCCAGGGAGTGGACAGCCCCATAAAACCAAATGGGACTAATGAGGTACAGCAGTCCAGTGACAAGGGCCAGAAGGCAGAAGGGGACAAGGAAGCTGGTGATAGGGAACCCAAGGTTGGGTAAGGATAGTGTTGATGTGTTGTAAGGTTGTTAACCATTGTCACAGGGCAACATGTGTACTGTTAAATGAGAAACTATTTTGTTCTGTAAGCCTTCATCTAAAGTGAAAATAGCAGCACAACTGGAAGAGCATAGTCGATGTCACTGAACTGTGCATGTAGAAATTTTTGAAATGGTGTATCTTTGGCTATGTATATTTTCACTGAAACAAAAAGGTCAAGAAGGGAGAGGGTTG